TTGATTTCAAATGATCAGATTTTTAACATGCGCAAGATCGATATGTAGTCATAAAATATAAAAAAACAGTAACGATGCTCATCGTCAACTGAATAAACAAAAATATAAAATGTAGTAGGCAAGACGATGGCTCTAAAAAAAAAAAAAAAAAAAAGAAAGAACAAAAGAAATTTTTGATTTACGACAAAAGTATTTCCCAAAATAAATATAATTTTGGAGGAATTACAGGCTTTAAAACTGTTAAATCAAATTATAAGTCTGACTTATTGGCTACTTCCCACAACTGAGATAAATTTGTCATCGTTGGCCCGTTTAATTCACATCGTTTGCACGTTTTAATCACTTTATATAGAAAATTAAAAAGATTTAAAGCAAAAAAAAAAAGAAAGAAAGAAACGAATAAAATATAACCAAGCATAAAGTAATGGATTTGAAAACGGCTATTCTTTGATAAAATAAACGAAAAGAATTTACAAGACATACAATTATCTAATCAAATATATAAATTTCTCAGACAGAGCCGGTGTTTAAAAACCTTCCTACTGTTTGAACAGCATGTTGTGATTTGAAACCATTAAAGAGAGGAAAATTCCTTTTAGGGAAAGGGAATTTTTCCCATTCGATTTAGGGAAGTAGTTGATTTTCTTACCGCCTCCAACTTTCGCAGGAAACTAAATTCCCCCCTTTATATTATTAATAAAGTCTTGTTACTTATTTTTGTACATTTAGTATTTTACTAAATTTTAAAAAGTTCTAATATGTACAATTTGAGTAGGGTTTTTTTTAGTCATTAATCAAAATTTCTTTAAACTGTACCGATTCAGAGTTAGGATTTGTTGTCTACTTCTGTTTAAGTCTGTTCATTGTTCTGTCGTTTTTAAATTATTCATTTGTAAATTGATTATTATCTAAATAATTCTGTTCATTTATTTTACATAATTCTGAATGCCTCTTTTCTGTTGTATTCTTGCTAGTTGTTTGAAAATGTTGTTGGGCATCGTGATGATGATAAGCACATTGTTTTAGAGTTATGGTGAAAGTGTTTATAAAATACATTTTTTTAAAAGAGTTCTTCATTAGAACATGTATCACATTAGTAACATATAATGATTCATAATCTTATTTGTCTAGAATTATTAGTCTTACCTTTAGATTTATTTAGTAATTTGGAAAATTATGAAGAACGTGGTACTTTTGCAGTTTTTGGATAAATTTTTTCATTAAATATTAAGTTCAATCTCATTATCAATCATAAAATAAAAATCAATGAAAATATTTCAATATATTATAAATTGCCCAATAATTGAAAAGAAAAAAATATTAATGAAATACAAACATCAACCTCGAACCAATATCCTAGCAGTTCACTGCGTATAGTCACGAAACAAGTTTTCTATGACAAAAGCATCATGATTGTGCCAATTAACAAGCCTTTTCTTATGTAGAGATGGAGGTAGTAGATGCATCAGGAACAAGTTCTTTTTAGAACGTTCGCCAAAACTGCGATCCCCTACAAAATACTCAACAGCAACTAATTCCTGTCATTCCAGAAATCCTTGATAATAATGAACATTAAAGAAAACAAAACCAAAGTATTTGTGACGTTATTACAGCTACCATTAAAATATGGATGAGGAAAATAGAAATGTTACACACTTGAATGAGTTTTTGGATAAGACTAAAACGAATAAATTTTCAATGGATCTGGAATTCAAACAGAAAATGATAAATGTATTACAATGAATGAAACAAAGAATAAAAACACTAGAGTACTTTTCGTTTCTCAAAGTAGTAGATAAGATACAAAGGTACATGCCAATTAACTAACTGTCTATTCGCTCCACTAATAAAGGTCGAAATAATTAAGATGGAATTCCTTTTAATAAACTACTTAAAGGACTAACTGCTGAATCATTTCCAGTAATCCTAGTATCTGGAATTGATTTAACAGTTAGCCACCCATACCTAGAGCTATTAGCCCTCAACTAGAAAGGCGGTGCTGGAACATCGTGGGCAATATGTACACTCATGTCCATAAATTAAGGATAATGAAGTTCAGGCAAAGAAAGAGACTGAAGCTAAACAAATTTGACTTATTTGTAAAGTCTATTTATTAAACAAAAGTTAAAGAGCAAAAAAGATGCTATATGCTTGACATAATTAATAAAAATTGCGATTTTTACTCCCTGGAGCAAATTTCAAAAAAAAACCTATTTACAAAAAGCAGTATAACATGGTTAGTATGATGGTTAATATGGAGTATGTCTCCCGGACGATACAATACAGGTCTTACAACGCCTAGGCATGCTGAGTATAAAATTATCAATCTGATCTTGGAGAATATTACACCACTCATCAAGCAATGCCCTCCGAAGTTCCGGTTGACAGGTGGGAGGGGGTTGACGGGCTGCAATTCCTCGGCCAAGCATATCCCACACATGCTCTATTGGATTCAAGTCCGGTGAGTATGCTGCCCAATCCATACGGGTGATATCCTCCAATTGAAGGCATTCGTCTACAATGTTTGCCCGGTGAGGCCGGGCGTTGTCATCCATAAACAGAAATTCAGCACCCATGGCGCCCCGAAACAAACGTACATGTTGTTCCAGAATGAAATCCCGATAGATGTGGCCTGTCATCGTTACACTCTGAACATGCAGGTCAGTTCTGGAACCAAGAATAATTCCTCCCCAAACGAGCCATCCTGCACCACCGTAACGGTGTCATTCAATGGTATTCTCTTGGTGGTAACGGGTACCTGGCGCTCACCATATGAAAGTCCGGCGAGAATCAGACTGCAAACTAAACCTGGACTCGTCGGAAAACATCACACAAGACCACTGTTGCGGTGTCCACAATGCATGCTCTCTACTCCAGGTTAATCGCAGGCGGCAGTGAGTTGCGGTAAGTGGAACACATCTAACAGGCCTACGAGCATATAGACCAATGTGCCCTAAGCGTCTGTACACGGTCTGCCTTGAAACTGTCGTACCGGTAGCTGAAGAGAGCTGACGAGACAGGTCTGATGCTGTGCTCCGTCTGTTTCTTTTGGCAGTAACTGCTAAATACCGGTCCTCATTCGGCGTTGTAACTCGGAGGCGACCTGTGCTGTAATATCTACTGAAATTACCATCATCTTGGAATCGTTGCCTAAGCCTGGAGGTGACACTCTCGGCGATTCCAAGTTCCTCGGATGCTTCCAGCTGGGCACGTCCCCATTCCAGTCGTCCGATAATTCTACCACGTAAAAAATCATCCAAATGCTTCCTTTGTACCATAACTATGCGGTTATTGCACTGAAAGGCTTTTAAAGCGCTTGTGAACAATTTTACTTCTTTGCCACCATTCCTTATATACCCCTCTCTTACACTCTCGTCATTGTGACGTACTATCCGCGCCATCTGGTGGTTTCCTGTAATTTGCATATTCTTCTTCAAGATGTGTGTGATAATTCTACAGGTGAAATTTTTATTTTAGAGTTCAATTTCTGTGTGATTCTGAATTATCCTTAATTTATGGACATGAGTGTATATCACGAACATTTCACCGACTGGCGAAGGGGGAGACTTTTAAGAATAACTGCACTGAATTTGCTATTCGTACGGGAGAAAACCGGTAAACTCCCACAAGGCAGACTGACTATAGATGCGAGACATATTGTCACAACCTTCGTCGAGTCTCCTCGTTTCTGAAAATAGTGACTACAACCATGCCGCCAGTGGCTTCGAATGTCAGCCCTCTTTCACGCCAGTGGTGCACGTTGCCGCTGCGCCCCGAATTGGGCACCCCGATCAATAATGAAAATAAATTTAACAATCTTGAAAACCTTAAACAATCTTAAAAAAGATCAACGGCAATAACGTTCAAACTCTATCTGAAAAACTATATCCCTATAATGATTAGGCAAACCTCAGACTTAAAATCTCTCCCAAAAAATTGTACAGTATTAAAAAGGGAGAAAATATCATTAAACTCTTAGGAGAATTTATTAAATACTTTCTCAAGATTAATGAAGATAAAGACAATTACTAAACCTAATAATTGACCTAAATTACTTAAGTAAAAACCTCTAACTTTGTACATATAACCATTAAAGATGACCTCCAATTAAAAGTTATCTTAAAAGTATTATTGACAACCACTACCAAAAACGAAATAGAAATCATGCTTCTTGAACAAGGATTCTAAAAATGAATAACTAAGAACAAATTCACCATATATCAATTAATTTTAAGAATTAATTTTCTAACGATCTTCACTTTTAATAGGCTACTCTACATAGATTACAATATTAGGCTACTTTTACCATACTTAATCTTTAAAATTCAAAGAACTCATTTGAATAGCTGGGACAACCCACTTATTTCAGTGAAATGTTTTTCATCACTCATCAACCAATTGCAGATCATTACCAATGTGCTTAAAATGCGATGTAAACCATTTTCATAAAAACTGCCACATTCAAAATCCAGCATGCATTAACTGCTGCAAATACTGGCAAATCGACTCTTAGATGGGATGTCCTAAATTTCCAAAACCAATTATTATTTCTAGTTTGGCTCAACCATAGTAATATGTTAAAGCCAAACTGTATCACCACTAATAACAGAACTTTTAATTCCAAATCAGTAACTCCAAATTTCATTTACACAGACACAATCAATAAGGATAGACCACAACTAGCCCCTCCCCATATCGAACTAATCAATTAATTTTACCTGGTAATCTCTTTTTAATACGCTTTTATTAGTTTCACCTGTATGTTTGTTTGTTTGTAACTGACTCTTTGGGCTCGATTTTGACCTACTTTAAGCGATCAGGTTTAATTTAAACGTTGTAGGCTTATCAAGGACCGACGACAATAAAATATTTTGATAAGTTTATTATCTCATCATGATTAGGATCGCCAGGATTAGTGATTTTATTTTAATATAGGTCCTTTGCGTGATAGCAAAAGAGATACAGCAAGAGCGTGGTCTGCGCATGCGTGTACGCAGCTCCCTGATTGATCCTGCCAATAGTCAAATACTTGTCTCAAAGATTAAGCCATGCGTCTCAGTACACGCCGTATTATTAAGGTGAAACCGCGAATGGTTTATTAAAAATCAGTTATCGTTCCTTAGATCATACCCACATTTACTTGGATAACTGTGGTAATTCTAGAGCTGATAAATGCAAACCAGAGTTCCGACCGGAGATGGAAGGAATGCTTTTATTTTTAGATCAAAACCAATCGGTGGCTCGTCCATTGCTACTTTTGGGGACTCTGAGTAACTTTCTGCTGATCGTATGGTCCTTGTACTGACGACAAATCTTTAAAATGTCTGCCTTATCAACTGTCAATGGTAGATTCTCCGCCTACCATGGTTGTAACGGGTAACGGAGAATCAGGGTTCGATTCCAGAGAGGGAGCCTGAGAAACGGCTACCACATCCAAGGAAGGCAGCAGGCGCGCAAATTACCCACTCCCGCCACGGGGAGGTAGTGGCAAAAAATAACGATACGGAACTCATCTAAGGCCCCGTAATCGGAACGAATACACTTTAAATCCTTTAATGAGGATCCCTTCCGACAATTTCTTTAAGTTTCAGCTGTGCAACCATAGTTCCCCCGGAACCCAAATGCTTTGGTTTCCCGGAAGCCGCCCGCCGAGTCCATCTCTAGTCGGAACTCTGGTTTGTATGTATTATCTCTAGAATTACTACAGTTATCCAAGTAAATGTGGGTACGATCTAAGGAATCTTAACTGATTTAATTAATCATTCGCGGTTTCATCTTAATATGGCGTGTACCGTACCGATTTCGGTTTAGATGGTGTACACGTAATTAAACTAATATCGATACAGTTCCCAGCAAAATACAGCTATGGAACTGCTGAGAGACGAATGTTGCCATTAATCCTGAGTTGGGCATCAACCGTCCACAAGATGCAAGGCTGTACAGTTGATCATGCAGTCATTTATTTAGGCTCACGACTGTTTGCTGCTGGACAAGCTTATGTAGCGCTTAGTCGTGGAAGATCCTTGGACGGTATTCGAATTGAAGAACTTGATTGCTCAAAATTAACAGGAAGAACCCCATGTAACAGTGAAGCATTAGATGAAATGGTTCGGTTACGAAATAGTCCATAAGACTTGTTCGCAAATAAAGTTACAACCCTATGTCTCGCTGTTTATATTGGCAACATAGAAATCTTTGAATATGTTTTCTAAATCTAGATGCAACTGTTAACACATCTGTGCTTATTAAAGAAGGTTATTTTATAGCAAATCGAACTAAAAAGCAAAAAATAAATTATAATTTAAAAAAAACTAAAAAACACGCTTTTAGAGTTAATCAAACTAAAAAGTAAAAAATAACTGTTAACATAAGAATAAAATTACTGACGAGAAAATTAATGTCACTGTTCTAAAAGCGTGGGGTGCTTTGTATGACATTTTTAAACTAACTCTGCATTTCGGAATGAAAGTGGTGAAAAATTATAACGATTGATATCGAGCACCCCACGCTTTTAGAACGGTGGCATTAATTTTCTCGTCAGTAATTTTATTCTTATGTTAATAATTATTTTTTACTTTTTAGTTTGATTAACTCTAAAAGCGTGTTTTTTAGTTTTTTTAAACTATAATTTATTTTTCCTTTTTAGTTTGATTAACTCTAAAAGCGTGTTTTTTAGTTTTTTTAAACTATAATTTATTAGATACTCTACACAAATTGTCGTAAAAGAAATTAATTTCTTCTCATCCATAGAAAATATCAACTCTCTTTGATAATCTTATAACTTCCAAAAAAATCAAAATAAATTATTTGTACTTTAACCATCTTTGCTTAAAAATCTACTAATGTGACTAATTTTTCTAATTATTTCTTAATGAAAGGCTAGTTTTCTATTCTCTTTCCTCCATTACTAATCCTATGCCCGTAATTAGCTGCTCTGCACCTACTATAATAATCAATAATTTATAATTTAATAATAATTTTAAGAATAATTTTTAGAAGAGAATTGTAAAATATAAATTGAATACTAAAATATAATATTACAAAAAAAGAAATCTTAACAACAGGTGTGAAATTAAGAATTTCTTTCGGAATTTGCAAAACTGCATACGTACACCCCATGAGCTTGACTCATAAACAGACAAAATTAAGAAATAAATCTAGTACGCAATAGAAGAATGCATGAAATTGATAAGAAAATTCGGATCCCAGATCACACAACTAACCATGGACCCCTATAAGATAAAACAGATGCCTGTTTTATTACTCATCATGACCTATACGTTCAGGGTCATCCCATTAGACGATCCTCACCTCCTGCACCCAAGAGCCAGAGTACTTCCAGCCAATTGATACATCCAGAAACAAGGCGTGCCGTTTACCAGAAGTAGAGGTCGAAGAAATGTGTTGTCCATAAAAAAGCCACAGCTCCGTCTAAACCCCATCATCAAGATCAGCAGAATAGTAAGAAAACGACGAGGTTTTTATTCTCGGCGATATAAGGGGGAAAGAAGAAGATAAAAGTATGAAGGCCCCGGGGTCTCTATTATGAATAATTTTGATGGTTTGGGGAATCTTGCCGTTATGACCCGTCGAATCACATATTGTATTCTAGTATTGAAATTTCAATAGAGAAAATAAGTTCTTAAGTTGTGTGGATTTTTCTTTTATATTTAACTCAAAATTAGAGAGATAATTATATGCGTGACTGAAATAAGAGTTTCCTTTTTTTTTTTTCCATTTAATAAAATGATTCATTGAGAGTTCTACCTTCGGAACCTTTGATTGACTCGACATTAAAAAGACATTAAAATTTTTGAAATGAACGAACTGAATTCTGTATAAGTTTCACGTGTTTTTCATTGGAGTTGACAATCATGGAGAGATTTTAAAACCTTAGAACAAATAATGGAATGTCTGAAGGATTTGAGGCTATTACTTATTTGAATATGCAGCTGAACTAGCAAGTGATCACTATGATCAGATTTTATAAAAAAAGGTGTTGTCTGGGTAGATATCTGAGATGAAAATGGAAAGATTAATCAGCATTGAAGTCCCCTAATATAATACGAGGAATAGATACTTGACAGTAAAGTGTCTTAACGCTTTCGAACCATCCCGTGGGGAAAGGCCCAAGGTACATAAATATGTATAATAGTAATTGTTTTGTGGAGAAGATGTAAAATAACTGCATGAATTTCATTATCTGATTATGGAAGATTGGTAAACTGAAAGGATCGGCTTGCAAAATGATAGTCAACTACTATAAGACCTTTGTCGATAAATAGCTTTGATGGGGAAATGGAAAAGTTCTTCATTATTGAAGAAAGATTCTTGAGTAACAAAAATTTGAATTTTAGTGGAAAATTTTAGCCATGGCCATTCTATGCAAATTCCTCTCGCATTCCACTGTAAAAAATACTGTTAAACTGAATATTGAGAAAAGAATATTAAACAATGTGATAATCATTTTGATTTGAAAAACTCTTATGTGAGACTTAAAGGGGAAAAAATTTATGTCATTTGATACGTTGACGGAGACGTGCTTTGAATCTAGTGAGAAATCATTTTGTTTTCCGTGTATGAACACTTTTGTCTTTTGTATTTAACATTTATGATGCCCGATGATAATTGTTGAGTAGCTTGCGTCACCAATGTTAAAGTGCAACCACATGTTGAGTTAACGATGATGCGGACTCTTGCAAGGAATTTTCTTGTAATTCGACCCTTTCTTTCATTAAAAATGTTGCTTTTTTATATGCTACTGAAAAAGGGCGGTGATTTCATGCGCTCACTGAGCTTTTGCTAGGAAGGATTTCCTCATTTTATGGATATTAGAGTCGGCAACTTTCTTTGAATGAAAGCCGGTTAAATTTTAGGAACTTAATTTCTTGTTTTATTTTGATACATACTGAAGATGAGGATTTATGAGCACCGCCACATAAAACACGTTTATATGCTTGGGAAATACAAGCCAGAAAAGAATGGAGATTTATACATTTACATTAAAATTTGCCCTTTACGTTATCTATGTAAAAGGAAAATTTTTGTCTTGTGAGAAACAGTCTGTCTGGCGCTCGGTACCCCAGGTTTCGGGTTCGAGTGCCGGCGGTGCCCTGGATGTTTGTAGTGGTTCGGAATCCACTTTAAGTCATATGTCCCGGACTTAAATGACTGTTGAGCGTTGGGCGTAGAGCTGACAACCCTACCCCGTAAAAAAAAAACATCTCTCGTCTCGAAATCTATCAGTAGGTAGACGGCCTTGGCCCACACTGGTCTGTTGCACTAATGATGATGGGCAGGATGAGCAACAGTTTAACTTGTTCTGGAAGAAATATACCATAAATTGAAATTATAACTGGAACATATTGCCGTGATTGAGATGAATTCAGAAATATATGCAATTTGCAGATATAAAAGTTATTTTCTTCTTCGAGCTCCAAAGCTAGGTCACTCAACGTTACATCTGCTGGAAAGTTCTTCCAATAGAAGAGCGTTTTCCCTCTCTGATAGGAAGCTTTAAATGGTATACCCATTTATGCGTTGATAGCATACTCCAACAGCGGCTAGCGTGAAATGATAAATATCCGGATTAACGGCAGAAACGTACGAATCGATCATTTGTTAGGGGGGGCTAGTCAGATAAGTATTGCGTAAAGCTGCTTTGAAAGGAAAAAGTATATTAGTGTGGAGTTTTTTCATTAGCTTTTCTTTTAATAATACGTAATCTAAAATTTAAATTATAAAAATTTTAATTTTTCTTATTGCTAATAAAATCCTTCCCAAAAGACATTTCCTCCCTTATGATGCTGTTCTTTTTGCATCCGCCCCGACAGCTTGCCAATTTTTCATGTGATCGGTGGTCGGACTGTAGAAAGCTCTCGAGCTGTATCCAAATGGTCTGTGGTGATAATGAGATTTTCTTGTCATGTGATTTGTAAATGATATATATGCTTTACAGTTGTTAATTTGGGTGACAAATTGTTCTTCAGGAGTAGGGTGTGAGTTTTAGGAATAATGCCTCCTGGAATCTTAAAAAACAAATGTAAAAATATATGCCGCCTTCTGTGAAGCTAACTCTACGTTCCCTGTAATGTCATACTGCCGGTAAAAAATGCATATTACATGTATTTTGAGATTTCGTAAAATCAGTCATCTCAGCCGTGTCTGCCATTATTAGTTGAAAAACAACTGTGTCAAATCCAAAATTTTTACGTTGACACAAATTTAAAAAGATAACGCAAAACAATTACTACCAACAGGAAAAGGTCCTTACCTAATTCTAAGAAATGCATCGAAATAAATATAGTAAAAGAAAAAATAACAAGTAGAAAAGTCGCAATTGGTCGAGATATTCCCAGTCAACCCCATCGTCGTTCACTTCACTGTTAGCTACTTTATTCATATTTTTTGTGACTCATGAGTTTGAAGTTATTATTATCATTATTTTCATTTTCTTTATTAAGTCGCAATTTTATAATTCGAAATAAAGCCACCAATGTGCGCTCATAAATCCCAAAATCCAATCAAATAGCATTTTTGGTTACATATTTTTTCCTTTTTATAT